TGTTGCAAGGTCTACCATGTATGTTAAGCCAGTGTTGCAAGGTCTACCATGTATGTTAAGCCAGTGTTGCAAGGTCTACCATGTATGTTAAGCCAGTGTTGCAAGGTCTACCATGTATGGCTAGCCAGTGTTGCAAGGTCTACCATGTATGGCTAGCCAGTGTTGCAAGGTCTACCATGTATGGCTAGCCAGTGTTGCAAGGTCTACCATGTATGTCTAGCCAGTGTTGCAAGGTCAACCATGTATGTCTAGCCGGTGTTGCAAGGTCTACCATGTATGTTAAGCCAGTGTTGCAAGGTCTACCATGTATGTTAAGCCAGTGTTGCAAGGTCTACCATGTATGGCTAGCCAGTGTTGCAAGGTCTACCATGTATGGCTAGCCAGTGTTGCAAGGTCTACCATGTATGTCTAGCCAGTGTTGCAAGGTCTACCATGTATGTTAAGCCAGTGTTGCAAGGTCTACCATGTATGTTAAGCCAGTGTTGCAAGGTCTACCATGTATGTTAAGCCAGTGTTGCAAGGTCTACCATGTATGTTAAGCCAGTGTTGCAAGGTCTACCATGTATGTTAAGCCAGTGTTGCAAGGTCTACCATGTATGTTAAGCCAGTGTTGCAAGGTCTACCATGTATGGCTAGCCAGTGTTGCAAGGTCTACCATGTATGTCTAGCCAGTGTTGCAAGGTCTACCATGTATGTTAAGCCAGTGTTGCAAGGTCTACCATGTATGTTAAGCCAGTGTTGCAAGGTCTACCATGTATGTTAAGCCAGTGTTGCAAGGTCTACCATGTATGTTAAGCCAGTGTTGCAAGGTCTACCATGTATGGCTAGCCAGTGTTGCAAGGTCTACCATGTATGTCTAGCCAGTGTTGCAAGGTCTACCATGTATGTTAAGCCAGTGTTGCAAGGTCTACCATGTATGTTAAGCCAGTGTTGCAAGGTCTACCATGTATGGCTAGCCAGTGTTGCAAGGTCTACCATGTATGTCTAACCAGTGTTGCAAGGTCTACCATGTATGTTAAGCCAGTGTTGCAAGGTCTACCATGTATGTTAAGCCAGTGTTGCAATGTCTACCATGTATGTTAAGCCAGTGTTGCAAGGTCTACCATGTATGTTAAGCCAGTGTTGCAAGGTCTACCATGTATGTTAAGCCAGTGTTGCAAGGTCTACCATGTATGTTAAGCCAGTGTTGCAAGGTCTACCATGTATGGCTAGCCAGTGTTGCAAGGTCTACCATGTATGTCTAGCCAGTGTTGCAAGGTCTACCATGTATGTTAAGCCAGTGTTGCAAGGTCTACCATGTATGTTAAGCCAGTGTTGCAAGGTCTACCATGTATGTTAAGCCAGTGTTGCAAGGTCTACCATGTATGTTAAGCCAGTGTTGCAAGGTCTACCATGTATGTTAAGCCAGTGTTGCAAGGTCTACCATGTATGTTAAGCCAGTGTTGCAAGGTCTACCATGTATGTTAAGCCAGTGTTGCAAGGTCTACCATGTATGTTAAGCCAGTGTTGCAAGGTCTACCATGTATGTTAAGCCAGTGTTGCAAGGTCTACCATGTATGTTAAGCCAGTGTTGCAAGGTCTACCATGTATGTTAAGCCAGTGTTGCAAGGTCTACCATGTATGTTAAGCCAGTGTTGCAAGGTCTACCATGTATGGCTAGCCAGTGTTGCAAGGTCTACCATGTATGGCTAGCCAGTGTTGCAAGGTCTACCATGTATGGCTAGCCAGTGTTGCAAGGTCTACCATGTATGTCTAGCCAGTGTTGCAAGGTCAACCATGTATGTCTAGCCGGTGTTGCAAGGTCTACCATGTATGTTAAGCCAGTGTTGCAAGGTCTACCATGTATGTTAAGCCAGTGTTGCAAGGTCTACCATGTATGGCTAGCCAGTGTTGCAAGGTCTACCATGTATGTCTAGCCAGTGTTGCAAGGTCTACCATGTATGTTAAGCCAGTGTTGCAAGGTCTACCATGTATGTTAAGCCAGTGTTGCAAGGTCTACCATGTATGTTAAGCCAGTGTTGCAAGGTCTACCATGTATGTTAAGCCAGTGTTGCAAGGTCTACCATGTATGTTAAGCCAGTGTTGCAAGGTCTACCATGTATGGCTAGCCAGTGTTGCAAGGTCTACCATGTATGTCTAACCAGTGTTGCAAGGTCTACCATGTATGTTAAGCCAGTGTTGCAAGGTCTACCATGTATGTTAAGCCAGTGTTGCAATGTCTACCATGTATGTTAAGCCAGTGTTGCAAGGTCTACCATGTATGTTAAGCCAGTGTTGCAAGGTCTACCATGTATGTTAAGCCAGTGTTGCAAGGTCTACCATGTATGTTAAGCCAGTGTTGCAAGGTCTACCATGTATGGCTAGCCAGTGTTGCAAGGTCTACCATGTATGTCTAGCCAGTGTTGCAAGGTCTACCATGTATGTTAAGCCAGTGTTGCAAGGTCTACCATGTATGTTAAGCCAGTGTTGCAAGGTCTACCATGTATGTTAAGCCAGTGTTGCAAGGTCTACCATGTATGTTAAGCCAGTGTTGCAAGGTCTACCATGTATGTTAAGCCAGTGTTGCAAGGTCTACCATGTATGTTAAGCCAGTGTTGCAAGGTCTACCATGTATGTTAAGCCAGTGTTGCAAGGTCTACCATGTATGTTAAGCCAGTGTTGCAAGGTCTACCATGTATGTTAAGCCAGTGTTGCAAGGTCTACCATGTATGTTAAGCCAGTGTTGCAAGGTCTACCATGTATGTTAAGCCAGTGTTGCAAGGTCTACCATGTATGTTAAGCCAGTGTTGCAAGGTCTACCATGTATGGCTAGCCAGTGTTGCAAGGTCTACCATGTATGGCTAGCCAGTGTTGCAAGGTCTACCATGTATGGCTAGCCAGTGTTGCAAGGTCTACCATGTATGTCTAGCCAGTGTTGCAAGGTCAACCATGTATGTCTAGCCGGTGTTGCAAGGTCTACCATGTATGTTAAGCCAGTGTTGCAAGGTCTACCATGTATGTTAAGCCAGTGTTGCAAGGTCTACCATGTATGGCTAGCCAGTGTTGCAAGGTCTACCATGTATGTCTAGCCAGTGTTGCAAGGTCTACCATGTATGTTAAGCCAGTGTTGCAAGGTCTACCATGTATGTTAAGCCAGTGTTGCAAGGTCTACCATGTATGTTAAGCCAGTGTTGCAAGGTCTACCATGTATGTTAAGCCAGTGTTGCAAGGTCTACCATGTATGTTAAGCCAGTGTTGCAAGGTCTACCATGTATGGCTAGCCAGTGTTGCAAGGTCTACCATGTATGTCTAGCCAGTGTTGCAAGGTCTACCATGTATGTTAAGCCAGTGTTGCAAGGTCTACCATGTATGTTAAGCCAGTGTTGCAAGGTCTACCATGTATGTTAAGCCAGTGTTGCAAGGTCTACCATGTATGTTAAGCCAGTGTTGCAAGGTCTACCATGTATGGCTAGCCAGTGTTGCAAGGTCTACCATGTATGTCTAGCCAGTGTTGCAAGGTCTACCATGTATGTTAAGCCAGTGTTGCAAGGTCTACCATGTATGTTAAGCCAGTGTTGCAAGGTCTACCATGTATGGCTAGCCAGTGTTGCAAGGTCTACCATGTATGTCTAACCAGTGTTGCAAGGTCTACCATGTATGTTAAGCCAGTGTTGCAAGGTCTACCATGTATGTTAAGCCAGTGTTGCAAGGTATACCATGTATGTTAAGCCAGTGTTGCAAGGTCTACCATGTATGTTAAGCCAGTGTTGCAAGGTCTACCATGTATGTTAAGCCAGTGTTGCAAGGTCTACCATGTATGTTAAGCCAGTGTTGCAAGGTCTACCATGTATGGCTAGCCAGTGTTGCAAGGTCTACCATGTATGTCTAGCCAGTGTTGCAAGGTCTACCATGTATGTCTAGCCAGTGTTGCAAGGTCTACCATGTATGTTAAGCCAGTGTTGCAAGGTCTACCATGTATGTTAAGCCAGTGTTGCAAGGTCTACCATGTATGTTAAGCCAGTGTTGCAATGTCTACCATGTATGTTAAGCCAGTGTTGCAAGGTCTACCATGTATGTTAAGCCAGTGTTGCAAGGTCTACCATGTATGTTAAGCCAGTGTTGCAAGGTCTACCATGTATGTTAAGCCAGTGTTGCAAGGTCTACCATGTATGGCTAGCCAGTGTTGCAAGGTCTACCATGTATGTCTAGCCAGTGTTGCAAGGTCTACCATGTATGTTAAGCCAGTGTTGCAAGGTCTACCATGTATGTTAAGCCAGTGTTGCAAGGTCTACCATGTATGTTAAGCCAGTGTTGCAAGGTCTACCATGTATGTTAAGCCAGTGTTGCAAGGTCTACCATGTATGTTAAGCCAGTGTTGCAAGGTCTACCATGTATGTTAAGCCAGTGTTGCAAGGTCTACCATGTATGTTAAGCCAGTGTTGCAAGGTCTACCATGTATGTCTAGCCAGTGTTGCAAGGTCTACCATGTATGTTAAGCCAGTGTTGCAAGGTCTACCATGTATGTTAAGCCAGTGTTGCAAGGTCTACCATGTATGTTAAGCCAGTGTTGCAAGGACAGGCTTGCAATATACTGCTCATTTCCACAATTTACATAATCCGCTCTGAAGTTCAGTCCTATTTTCGACGTCAACGGCCCTGAAGTCATTCAGTTGTTAGAGTTCGCTGTACAGAGGTCATCTATGAGACGGGGGGGGGGGGAATAGGTCGTTGTACAGAGGTCATCTATATGGCTTCCCCTTCCTCTCCTACCCATTCCTATTCCACCAACACTCACCAAGTCCTTTTCTTTTCCTTTTCCTCCCTATTTCTTGTTCTCCCGCTGCTCATTCCTCATTATCTCTCTCTCTCTCTCTCTCTCTCTCTCTCTCTCTCTCTCTCTCTCTCTCTCTCTCTCTCTCTCTCTCTCTCTCTCTCTCTCTCTCTCTCTCTCTCTCACTCTCACCACTTTACCACATTACTCTCCCTCTATCCCTCTCCCCTCCCCCCCCCCCGTCACTCACAATCTTCCACAATCACCTCACGCCTCTCTTCATTGCTCTCTGCCATCTTTATCATCAACAATATTGCGAAGGCGGCATATACATATTATACATATAATCTACACATGTGTGTGTGTCTGTGTGCGTCTCTCTCTTCACCCCTCTCGGCTCCTGGTCACCGGATTACAGAGGATTACAATAGATTACCAAAGATTACAGAGTAATTCAAGCGGCAATAGGCCATTAGATCCCAAGTTAGATTGCCTATTTAAGAAGAGCTTATGTGGCACAAACAATGTATTACATGGAGTGAGATTTAAGTGAACATTTTTCATTGTTCTGTTTTCATTAATTCTGTGTGAGTGTGGTGGTGGTCTTAATTATATTGGTGTTCAGTGGTTTTTTGGAACTCAGATGACGGAACTGAACATAAATTAAGCAATCAACACGCTTGAAATACAAGCGACGACGTTTCGGTTCGTCTTGGACCTTTATCGCGACGTTTCGGTTCGTCCTGGACCTTTTTCACGACGTTTCAGTCCGTTATGGACCCTTAATACGTTTCGGTCCGTCCTGGATCTTTATCGCGACGTTTCGGTCCGTCTTGGACCTTTATCGCGACGTTTCGGTCCGTCTTGGACCTTTATCGCGACGTTTCGGTCCGTCTTGGATCTTTATCGCGACGTTTCGGTTTGTCCTGGACCCTTATCGCGACTTGATTAGGACCACGGACGGACCGAAACGTATTAAGGGGTCCAGGACGGACCGAAACGTATTAAAAGGTCCAGGACGGACCGAAACGTGCGCACATTCTCTTCACATGTTTGGCTTGGGTTATTTGTCAACTCCAAATGAATGATTACAGATTCGATTAAGGAAAACGTGTTTTGCTTCGCTATAGTGTATAAACGTTGTAATGTATAAACGTTGTAGTATATGAACGTTTGTCGTGTATAAGCGTTTGTATAAGTGAATAAGAGTGCCTATAATCTGAAAGACTTCACTCTGCACCAGGTTTGACTGAAGATTCTTAAGAGCATCTTAAGAGCATCTTAAGAGCATCTTAAGAGCATCTTAAGAGCAGCTCTTTTAATAATAATCTTTTATAATTGTAGTAAATAGAATTTTGTTTATTTTTCTTCATGGACTGAATAAACTTCAGATGTCTTCAACTGTGCACAGTGTCCCAGTGTGGGTGGTTCTATAGAACTGTGCACAGTATTCCAGTGTGGGTGGTTCTATAGTACTGTGCACAGTGTTCCAGTGTGGGTGGTTCTATAGAACTGTGCACAGTATTCCAGTGTGGGTGGTTCTATAGTACTGTGCACAGTGTTCCAGTGTGGGTGGTTCTATAGTACTGTGCACAGTGTTCCAGTGTGGGTGGTTCTATAGTACTGTGCACAGTGTCCCAGTGTGGGTGGTTCTATAGTACTGTGCACAGTGTCCCAGTGTGGGTGGTTCTATAGTACTGTGCACAGTGTCCCAGTGTGGGTGGTTCTATAGTACTGTGCACAGTGTCCCAGTGTGGGTGGTTCTATAGTACTGTGCACAGTGTTCCAGTGTGGGTGGTTCTATAGTACTGTGCAGTGTCCCAGTGTGGGTGGTTCTATAGTACTGTGCACAGTGTTCCAGTGTGGGTGGTTCTATAGTACTGTGCACAGTGTCCCAGTGTGGGTGGTTCTATAGTACTGTGCACAGTGTCCCAGTGTGGGTGGTTCTATAGTACTGTGCACAGTATTCCAGTGTGGGTGGTCCTATAGTACTGTGCACAGTGTCCCAGTGTGGGTGGTTCTATAGTACTGTGCACAGTATTCCAGTGTGGGTGGTCCTATAGTACTGTGCACAGTGTCCCAGTGTGGGTGGTTCTATAGTACTGTGCACAGTATTCCAGTGTGGGTGGTTCTATAGTACTGTGCACAGTGTCCCAGTGTGGGTGGTTCTATAGTACTGTGCACAGTATTCCAGTGTGGGTGGTTCTATAGTACTGTGCACAGTGTCCCAGTGTGGTTGGTTATATAGTACTGTGCACAGTGTTCCAGTGTGGGTGGTTCTATAGTACTGTGCACAGTGTTCCAGTGTGGGTGGTTCTATAGAACTGTGCACAGTGTTCCAGTGTGGGTGGTTCTATAGTACTGTGCACAGTGTCCCAGTGTGGGTGGTTCTATAGTACTGTGCACAGTGTCCCAGTGTGGGTGGTTCTATAGTACTGTGCACAGTGTCCCAGTGTGGGTGGTTCTATAGTACTGTGCACAGTGTTCCAGTGTGGGTGGTTCTATAGTACTGTGCACAGTGTCCCAGTGTGGGTGGTTCTATAGTACTGTGCACAGTGTCCCAGTGTGGGTGGTTCTATAGTACTGTGCACAGTGTCCCAGTGTGGGTGGTTCTATAGAACTGTGCACAGTGTCCCAGTGTGGGTGGTTCTATAGAACTGTGCACAGTGTTCCAGTGTGGGTGGTTCTATAGAACTGTGCACAGTATTCCAGTGTGGGTGGTTCTATAGAACTGTGCACAGTATTCCAGTGTGGGTGGTTCTATAGAACTGTGCACAGTGTTCCAGTGTGGGTGGTTCTATAGACCTGTGCACAGTGTCCCAGTGTGGGTGGTTCTATAGAACTGTGCACAGTATTAATCAGTTTTACGAAGATTTCAAATAAGCTTGAAAATGCTGTGTTTAAAAGCTGATGAGGACAGAGGTGAAGGTCAGACTGTCTCAGGCAGTCTCAGAGTCTCAGACAGACAGACAGACAGTCTCAGACAGACAGACAGTCTCAGACAGACAGACAGTCTCAGACAGACAGACAGACAGTCTCAGACAGACAGACAGACAGTCTCAGACAGACAGACAGTCTCAGACAGACAGACAGACAGTCTCAGACAGACAGACAGTCTCAGACAGACAGACAGTCTCAGAGTCACAGACAGACACGACACTCAACGCCATTACTCATATCTGAAACACACTTCTCACAGCACTAAAAAAAAGAAAATACTCACAACCGCATTACTCACATTAACCTTATTACATTACTCACATTACTCATTAACCTCACTCACATTACTCACATTACTCATGCCCTGAAGAGGTAGGAAGAAGTATAAAAAAAAAAAATGTCTGCAGCAATTACGGAAAAAAATTAAACGCAATTACGGCCACTGTAAGTGATCCAGCCGCCCCCCCCCTAACCCCCCCCCAAGAACCGACAGGACAACCCCCTCCCCCCCCCCTTGTCTCTACCCCCTACCCCCCCCACACACACTAATGGCTGCTCGACCCCCCCACCCCCCCTCCAGCCTCCATCAGTAGAGAAGGGAGAGGAGATAACGACGGACTAGGAGAGAGAGAGAGAGAGAGAGAGAGAGAGAGAGAGAGAGAGAGAGAGAGAGAGAGAGAGAGAGAGAGAGAGAGAGAGAGAGAGAGAGAGAGAGAGGGGGGGAGGGAGAGGTAAGCCATAGTTCACCATCTTCATCACACAATCATCATTTTGTTTCTCATGCACTGGATTATTCTCTAGTATCTCTGTCACTAGTTTATTCTTCATGTTTCATCCTTTTTTCTTTCTCTCTCTCCAATCATTCTATTTTCCTTTATCTCTGCCGCCTCTATCATTCTCTTCCATCTGCTCATCCTCCTTCCTACCTTTCCTCCTCCTAACAGTCCCTATACCCTCCAATCTTCTCTCCCTCCCCTTGCACCTTCCCCTTCTCATTCCCCCCTCCCTCTCGTAATCCCCCCTTCCCTTCATTCTTTCTCCTCTTCCACACCGCTGGAACGGTTGGATTGTCAGTTTAAAGATTTCTCACTCTCTCTCACTCTCTTCCTCTCACTCTCTATTCTCTCACTCTCTTTTCTCTCACTCTATTTCCTCTTCATGCTACTCTCCTCTGTACCCAGACACGGTAAACCTCGCGAAAACCACATCTCACTAACTGTAAATCAACATTAGTTACGAATCTAAACCATTCTTACGAAATCGGTAAGAATTCCCCACATTACCTGTACGAAATCTGGTTCGTCCAAATTCGTTTCCGTATGAAATATATCCGGCTTTCCAGGAAGCGGTTTGCGCTACACATACACTTGAGAGAGGTTAGTAGGCTCAGGGAGGCCTATGGCTATCGGTATTTACGCTCGTATCGTGAAGGATAGGCGCACTGACCCGTTCGACGCCCGGTGCGTCGTGGAAATGGAGCCAGGAATTGATGCGCTCTCTCTCTCTCTCCCTCTCTCTCTCTCTCTTTTCCATCACAATGACCTCTTACTCAAGTGGCTTTCACCGCTCAAGTAACCTAGTAGCAGCCACTTACCAGACCTTATAAGTGCCTCAACTAAACCGCCTCACTACTTTTTAAGTAAGTGGTACACTTTTTTTTTTTTTTTTTACAGTACTTTTAACAGCTTCTGAAATACGCTAACGAAAAGTTACTCACTCTTTTTAGCATTGAGTAAGTCTTTGGGGTCTTTGGTACTCTTGGTTAGTAGAATGATCTCTTTGGTGTTGATCATCTTTGGTCTTTGATCTCTTTGAAATCAAAGGAATGATCTCTTTGGTGTTGATCATCTTTGGTCTTTGATCTCTTTGAAATCAAAGGAATGATCTCTTTGGTGTTGATCATCTTTGGTCTTTGATCTCTTTGAAATCAAAGGAATGATCTCTTTGGTGTTGATCATCTTTGGTCTTTGATCTCTTTGAAATCAAAGGAATGATCTCTTTGGTCTTTGGTATCAAATCCTTTGTGCTGATTTGATTCTACGTAACTCGTAAAACTAATTAAATCACTTGATTTCGTGATTGATTAGTGGTGCGATTGATTATTAACGTTATTGATTAGCGGCGTGATTGATCAGTAACGTCAGTGATTATTAAAGTCATTGATTAATGGCAACAGGTCGTTAGACAAGCGTTATTTAAGAGAGTGGTTGACGCCAACATGGGGAGGGGGGGGGCGCACGCACGCGCGCGCGCGCACACACACACACACACACACACACACACACACACACACACACACACACACACACACACACACACACACACACACACGTAAATAAACTGAGTCGGCGCCAAG